TTATAAATAACTAAGCATCTGGGTGTCGGGAAACATTCAAAGTACTCGGGATATTCGAATATTCTTTCCATTTTTCTATTTTCTTCTTATGCTAATAACGTTTCCAGTTATTCAATTTCTAATTTACGAAATTTATGTGGTCACATTCTTTTAATATATCCAAGTGAAATATGTTTTTTATGTACTAATTTTTCTAATTCATTCATTGCATGCGTCTTCTTCGGTATTTCTGTAAGGAACAGATAAAAAAATTAAATTGTATTATATGTGTGCGATTGATTAATTAATGAAATGACAGAAGTTACCGCGAAGTTCAATACAGAGATTATATGGGTTAGCTGTTATCCTAGATGAAGGTTCCTGTTTTGATAACGCGAGGTCGTTACGCTTATTGTCACTTCGTTAGTGGCGTTACGCTTGCAAAGTTCCACGGCGAATTGGCACCGTGGGAAATTACCATTTTATTAAGGCAACACGGACCCGACAGCCGCTTATTTATCTCATATATCCTGTCGCTCCCGTCCATCCTGTGGAGACATCATGCAAGTGTCCGCCGTCCACGCTTCTCGACAGCTTATGTTGGCTTTTCGATGGATATCTCACAAAGCGGTGCATAGGAATGCAACTTATTTTGATGCGTTTTAAGTTCATGGATCTTTTGCCTTTTGTGCATCTCTATTCAATCAATAAATTACTGGAAATATATCACGGCATGAAACACAACATATCTAAACTACTAAATATATAAATACTTCTAAGTCGCTTTTTATAATTTTTGGAAAATTATTACATTATTATATAAATCATAATATTGTTCTAGATTTCTCTTTAACTTTTCATCAATATCTACATCAATTTCACGAAGTTACAAAAGATATTCAAGTATTTTATTTTCAAGGATCATTTCACACGAAGCTGTTCTTAATATAATAGAGAAAAGCGGACTAGAGATGGTGCTAAATATATTTTTACGTTTAATTCGAACAAAGTTTCATTACGGAAATGGTAGAATAAGAGCTGGAATCTCTTTTTTGAGAAAATACCGACCAGCCAAATTCGTAAATATATCACGCGTTAAGATAAGCTTCTGCGCCTAATTACGAATTAAGTTTCGACATACGTGCGGGCGTCGCCATTAATTTCGCCGCGATTTGGTAATCTGCGCGCACAAGGGAGGAATGCAGAGTACCTGCCGCGATTAATTCGTCTCTTTCGTTATCTGGTTACCTGTGCCAAACCATAACGGTGCACTTAAGGTAATCTCTATTCGTCCCTCGTTTTTTTCTCTTTATCCTACTTCCCATTCTTTCAAGCTTTTTCTGCTTTTCCTACAATTTCTTTTTTTCAAGCAATATTTGATGTCACGCGCTAGTTATTCTGATCCGGTCTTACAGGTCAGTCGAGATTATTAAGCTCCTTTATCTCATTCATTCATTCATTAGTCTTGTTTACTTTTAATATCTAAAGTTAAAAAATACGAGTTAATTTTTACATCAATCCTTGGATTATCGATTATAATTTCAGTGGAAATGTACGTGTGTATATGTTTAATTTTTCGTAATTATTAAGTGGAAACTAATTCCTAGGAATTCCGACCAATCGACTTTTGATTCCGTATATAAAATAATCTGTGCATTTCAAAACTAATAGCGTAAAAATTAATAATATTAAACGTATTAATGATTTATAATAATAGCTTAATAATTTATTTAGATTATAATAGTCACGCATACAAACACATTATTCATGTTAATAATTGCAAAACCAAAATTTACATCATTCATATAATTTAATTTTATACAACACATATAATTTATATTCATAAAATATTGCACGCGGCTATTTTGATAATAACAATTTAATTCTCGGAATCACAGCTTCGCATATTTTAGAATTCAAGAATTCATAGGTTCGAGGAATTGGGGATCTCTAGTTTCAACCATTTATAGATTCAAGGAGAACCGTGAGTCCGCCAAGAATTAGGAAGAAAGAGAGAGTAATATCTAAGGGAAGGTCAAAGCGACAATGTAAGTCCGAAGAAACATTAGTCGAAGGAGTTATAACGAATGGAGTGTAGACGTGCGGTGAGAAGAAGACAAAAAAGAACCTGTTTTCTTCGACGGAGCATTCAGCCCCCGAAGGTACCTGCGCAGTTTAATTCCCACGTAGTAGGACCTGCCCGCTATATTACAGGATACCTAGAAAATCGAGAAAATAAAATTTGAAGACATTCATCACTGACGCTTCTTGTCGACCGATATTTACTTATTCGTCGTTTAATTTCTATCGCTGTTATTATTGTTGTTACTCTGATTAATGTTATTGCTGTTACTTATATTGCTACTGTTGCTATTACTGTTTCTAACACTTCTACTATTTTCATACACATGTCAATCAAATTTATTAGTATTGTTTTAAAATACGTCTTGACTTTATTACTGGAGCATAGAAAAATAGATGCTAACTTCCGTTTGTATAGATCACGTTTTTATTTCCTTACATTTTCGTGACGCTTTCCTGCAAAAATAACACTATGTCGTTGAAAATAGTACTGTCGGTAAGACCTGAATAATTTTTATACCTGAGTATTTTTTTCAAACACTCTCTATACTCAAATTCGTAGAAATTATCCCAGACACACCCATCTACCGTCTGTTATTGATTTTTCGCAGCAGCTGATTCGCATCAGCTGATTCTGCTTTTTGTTTCTCCGAAGTACTATGTACGCTAGTCACGAGACTCTCGAGTAATTTCCATGATAACCGGTATTCGGCTGTCCGGGAAATACCCGAAAGACTCCGGGTATCCGGATAGTACTCGGGTAAGCCGAGTCCTTGGATACTGACAACCGTTAGTTGAGGTCACTTTATCCGACTTTCGGGTGAATGACTTTCGGGTGAATTTTTGGACTATCGAGATTTATTCAAATACAACGAATGCGGCCAGAATGTTTTTCCCTCGACGCATGTCGCTGTCCCGCCTAGTTATAACCCGCAGCGACTATGCTGAATGCTGGAACGATCCTATATTGAATCGACTCTCTGGCAAGAGCAGGGCGTAAATAAGGCGCCGCGCACGTTAAACAACTTACTTCGCGACCCAGAACCGGTTATGTAACTAATCTCGTATCCGGAAGTTAGTTGTACCGAGCAACGAGACCAGTTCCGCGGTGCGAATCAAGCGTCAGGTATCGTGTATTACCAGGCCGAGAGGGTTCAGCAGCAGGTCGAAAAAGGGAGAAAAACACGTCCTGGAAGAGCGCGACACTCCGGAGGAACACTTTCGATCGCACTCAGAATCGACCATGGAGAATTGCTGATGAGGTGGAAACGCGATTTCAGATCGCTGATAATCGGCCTTGGCTTGCTGGCGCGCTGGCTCGCCGATCTGTATAGATGCCATGGGCAACTTATACTCAGAAAAGAAAATGAGACCATTGTAATGTTTACGACATGATGTATGATGGAATCATTTTCAGTTGGCACTTCGTTAACTTAAAATGTTGAAGTGTCAACTCTATAGCGGACTTTAGCTAATGGAAGTTGAAATTTAAAGAAATTATAAAAGAATTATAATCTTTTTGATTAGCTCAAACTAGCTCGATTCTCCAAATTATAAAAAAAAACAAGTTCACCTATCATTTTTTTATATGTGTGATAAAAAGTATGAACTATTAGGTTAATTTATTCTCAGTAATAATTGGTAGATTAGTGTGTGAACAGAGTATAGAGAGATAGTAGAAATCACTATCATTGCTGTTGCAAGATTCACTGGTATCAGTAAATTGCTAGATTCGCAGATCGATAAATGGTTATACCGTTAGCTTTGCAAGTCAAAAAATTGATAGAGCCAATCTATACAGATGGTTCTATTGCCTCATAGAATTGGTACAGTTATCGGAAATCATATTAACGATCGTTTTTTCCCCTTCACGTTCTGGTGAATCTTGTTTTTGAGTGACAGAGAGCTACAGCTCTATTCGAGATGTGTATGTAAAATAGTTCAATTAAAGGTAGATTGTTCAATTAAACATAAGGTAACGCATCCGAAAATCTCTTTTTTAAAGGGGGTATTTGCTACTTTTTTGTTTTAATTTTGATTTTAATTATTTTTTAACTTTTGTAAATGATAGATATTTTGATTTATACTCTTTAAAGAAGTCCTCCTCGAAGAAGTTAGTACCTCTGAAGACACCTGTCGGCAGTATCTCGGCGGGGTCATACCCAACGACCATAACGCACTGGTCAGTCGCGTGGTACGTGACTACAATCGACTGCAGGAGTGCTCGGTTTCCCTCGGGCGACGAAGAGAAATCTCGAGGTCCATGGAGAACGCAGCCTCCTTCATTTCGACTTATCCGCCATTGTATCTTAGATTAACGGTACCCGAAGAGCTGCGCGCGGCCGCTCGAGAGACGCGTACAAGCGCGACGGATAAAAAGAATAATGAGAGATGAAGCCGAGAACACGTTGAACCAGAAAGAATGTGTCACAAATGGAGAACGTGTTCAGCGAGCTCTACACGTACCCTACACTGCGGCTTTCAGAACGACCTTTCCTTAATTATCGAGCAATGCCCAAATATCTGAAAGGACAAGAGATTATATCGGAAGAGAGATATCTTCCGAAAAAGATACTTGACAATATATTAGGATATTGAATACCAAATAAATAGAAACATCTTGATTTTAAAATCTAAATTTTTATATATCTAGCCAAATATAGAATCAAATGAAAAAGGTATCATTATTTTTATTTTACTTTTCCCATTTTCGAGAACAAAAGGATTCATTAAAACGCCCAACGCCTAATATAAAAAATTAATTAATTTTATTATATATTATGCTATTTTTAACTTTTCCACTTTTACGCCGTGTCCAAATTATGAAGTAATTGTCTCAAAATGCACGCCTAATCGTCGCAAACTATAACAATGTTACGTTCAACCCTATCGAGCTCAACCATCCCGTTTCAAAGAAGATCCCTGCTTGATTCTTGCAGATGCTTCCTCATCGAACGAAGCGGTGCACCTACAGCAACGCCTACGGAGCCTCAGCACGGAACTGGTGACCCTAAGGAACCGGCTGCACGTGAGCCAACCGGCAAATGCATCAGGACCGGCGAGCGGTACCTCCGGGCCCCTGTCAAAGAGCCCGGAAAAAAGCGGCGCGCCCTCCTCGCCCGCACCGGCCGTACCACCGAGGACCACCCTGCCTCCCAGTGGCGGTGTATCTCATGGGATCGGTCATCCCGCGGGTCACACGCTAACAGCTTCCGCAATTGTTCATCCGCACGTCAATCACGCCGGCGCAAATACGCTCGGTCACAACTCGACCGCAACAAATAATTTAATATCTGGTTAGTGCACAGGAATCTCTGTCCGTTACACAGCCTGGTATTCCAGAATTACTGCTGCTATTTTAAACTGATCAATTTCTATGTTTTAAGTATTAATAATATGTATCCGGTATTCAAATGCGCGAGCATTGCCCGGGTACTCGACTACCTGCCCGAAAGCCTGGGTATTCGAAATCCAAAGTCCTAAGCACCACCCGAGTAACCTGCTATCTACTATTGATTTTCGCAGCAACTTTGCCTTCTTATATTTTTCTCAGGTACTATCTACATTAATCAGAGTATTTCGAGTACCTAAGTAATTTGCAAATAATTAGGTATCTGGATACCTGAGAAATATCCAAAAAACTACGATATCCGAGCAATATTCGAGTACCTGAGAATATTTCGGGTTCAAGTGGATATCAACACTATTTAGAATTTCATTATACGATATCTTGGGCTATCTAACAGGATCTTTCAGGCTTCTAAAGATAATGATGTGATATCCTGTTATAATTCGATATTCATTGATCAAATATTCATAACATTCATTGATCAAATATGCGACTGGTTAATGTTCATAACATATTCAAACATTCACCTCTACCGCTTAATATGATGGAGTAGCATATAGAAATGTTATCTACTTGTTTTCTGCATATTGGGATGAAATTTAAATAAGATATTTCGTGCATTTTACAAGACAGATAACAATTTATCGTGAAGCAGTCAACACTGTTGTCTAGATTACCCGACGTGTTCAGATCTAGATCCTTCGAAACGGCACAACGGAGTACCTGACGATGGGATAGTATCGTGCGTGACGGCGTTAGGTTGCCTCCGATCGCCGCCGATTTCCAGCATCATCGCCGACGTGAAGAACGCGAAAAGCAATCAAGGCCAACACAGATGCCTCCCGAAAGCCACCGCACCTTCCTCCGGCCCTGCGACCTCCACGGCCTTGGACGACCTCATTCATCTACCCGGACCTCTCACAGAAGACGCGGTGCTCAAGTGCCTTCAAGCTCGCTTCTGCGCCAAACAGTACCATGTAAGAGACTAATGCTCTAAAATAGATAAATGTCCCAAAGTTGCCAAAGCACAAAAATCTCGAAATTAAAGCATCATAGCATCGCTACATAGAGATCCTTGAAAGCGCCGGACCCTAAGAGGCGCTTTATCCCTCAGAAGCGTCGGACATTTGGATTCACGACACGAAAATCGCGTTCAGTGAATCAGGTAGTCATTTAATGCTAGATATATTGCGAGAAATATGGGTCTACGTGCGAAAGACCACGAAGCCCGCTTGTGATCGCAAAAGTCACGGTTTCCCATCCTCCAATCTTAGGATCCCAAGGTGCAAGCGTCCCGGGAACCTAACGTTCATAAGTCGCGTGCATGCACACATACACGCGTGCAGCCATGCACGAGTAACGCGACTGTGCTGGAGCGGAATGCAAAGAGGCGGCTTCGAGTCGCATTCAGAAGTGTACGGTGCGGCACACCGTTGGTGTTGGTATTGGTGCCCGCAATAACGCAAACACACAGTACAGCGCGCCCGATACGCCGCCATTAAGAATTCACCCTGTCTCTCGGCCGGTTCGTGCGTGCCACCCTGCCACAGGAAACCCACGCACAGGTGGCACGCTCGCATTCCAACAGTGTGGCCGGTCACATGCCGACTTTAATTTTCATACATTTCCTATCATACGCTATGTATGGTTAATCAGAACAACACCAGTTTCAACGCGCCTGAAACGTCAACCACATTTCTTCTTAATGACAATATTACTATTACCTTCATGTCGAAGTCTTTAATTCTGATCGTTTTCAAATGAAAAGAGTGCTTAGAGATGGATAAAAGCTCGAAGAGTTATCAAAGCTCACATAATTGAAAATTAAATAAACAAGCGTGAAATTGCAGTGACATATCAACTCATTAACGGCACTCTGCTAATTTAAGCTGCTCGTTTGAAGCCTGAACTCCTCTAATTGCAAATGGACCCTCGTGTTCGTCACAGTGGCTTGTCACGTCTATCGTTATCTGTCGTTCGTCAGGATGGGCAGCTCTTCGCGATAGGCTATCGACTTTTTATACGAAGCGATCAGTTCTTTTGCGACGGTTCCTCGTTTGGACGGCCTATTGAGAAACTCCTGATTTCTCCGTGTTTTAGGTACTTCAGGCAAGCGAGGACCTTTTTCTTCGCCGGTTGCGGTTGATTGGATATCTCCTTTCGACCGCAAGAAGCAAGCTGATCATATACTTACGCAAGTTTATTACGCAATCCATCAGACTTGAACTTCGACATTTGATTAGAACTTGCAAAATTCATCGATCGACTTCCAATTAACGGAAGATTCGGCCTATGAATTACAAATTATTCGGAGATTGCGAATTTCCCCAAGCAGCTGGTGTAGGCTGAACAACGTTTCTAAATTTATGCCAATGCGACTATTCATCAAATTATTATTAAATAATTATCGACTGCATATCTAGATCTCAGAATGAGAAAATTGCGACGTTATATGTATGGGACTCGAAGACTCATTATCTGAAGACTTATCTCATTATCCGGAGTCTTTGCCGCCGATTTTTGCGCAATTTCCTCGTGTTAAGCGACCGTTCACACTTCACAGCTTAATGGTAGGCATAATTATTTACTTGTGAAAACGTAGCACACACAGGAGATAGTCCCCTTCGTCCTCGATGACGCTCTCATTATGTCGGCATGCATGCAGGTGCGTGATCTGTTTACAGCTCGCACACGCAAATTCCAACCACCGTCTTTCCTCCACCTGTAGGTCCTACAGAGCCCGCCAAAGACTGGTTCTACTCCCTTCCTTCGTTCCCACCAATCTCTTCCACACTTTAGGCTGCTTTTATCCCCCTTTATGTTAGCCTATCTTGCTTTCTTCTGTGGCATTCTAATATCAACGAAGTCCGAGCCATAAATTGGAATGTTGTATAATTAAATGGAACAAGAGCAGAGATACTAACGAAAAGAAAATTTCATTGCAATATAGTGGATAAAATCTAGAAGATACAAATCAAATTAAAAATATTAATTTGCGCAGCAAATTATTAAGAGGAAATTAGTTCAATATTTTGGAAAGAACTTTCAATATTGTTAAAAAAAACTATTAACTTAAAATTTATATATTATTAACGATAATTATAATAATAATAATAATAATCAGAATGTCGCAAGAAATATTTACTAGTAAATTGATCTATTCACAAACAAAATATTGTCACAGACGAATGTAGGTCCCATACTGGTTTGCGTAAATCCATACACGGACGTTGGGAATCCATTGACCTTAACGAGCACCAGGACAGTGCCATTGACACCCCAGCTGAACAAGGTCGTTCAGGAAGCTGTGAGGCAGCAATCGGAGACCGGATATCCGCAAGCAATCATCCTTTCCGGTAAGATTCCCAACGGACTCTTTCTCCTCTTCCGCTCTTCAGGAATGCAGATTTCTGAAACTTCTTCTACAGGGACAAGCGGTTCCGGAAAAACGTACGCTTCAATGCTGTTACTTAGGCAACTCTTCGACGTCGCCGGCGGCGGACCGGAAACGGACGCTTTCAAACATCTAGCGGCAGCCTTCACGGTTCTCAGATCCTTGGGCTCAGCGAAAACCGCCACGAACTCCGAGAGCTCAAGGATAGTAAGTGCTCCGCTTCAAAATGCATGAGATAGAGATAGTAGGAGGATGAAAGGGAGAAAGATGAGTAGAGGAGTGAGAATTTATATGCGATCTATGATAAACTCTTTCTGCAGCTGTGTCTAATGGAATTAAAAATATTACAAGTATATACATAATAATATGAAAAGTATTATAGTGTAGTACATATAATAGTTAAAGCGACGACACACATGGTATTAAATAAAAGTATCAATATCAAAATAATCATTTTCAGGGTCACTTCATCGAAGTTCAAGTGACGGATGGTGCTTTGTACAGGACGAAAATTCATTGTTACTTCTTAGACCAAACGAGAGTGATTAGACCATTGTCAGACGAAAAAAACTATCACATATTTTATCAGATGTTAGCTGGATTATCTCACGATGAGCGAGGTAAGGAGTATTCGCTTGAAACTGATACCGTCGTTGTGACAATTAATGTGACAAAAATAATAACGATTTATTATTAATGAATTAATCTTAAATTTTATCACTTACCTTTATAGTTAAATTGAATCTAGAGGGATACAATCTCAAAAATTTGAGGTATCTCCAGCATGGCGATACGCGGCAGGACGAAACTGAGGATGCTATTCGGTTTCAGGCTTGGAAAGCTTGTTTAGGTATGTGTTGTACTCCCTGGAATGTTTTTAAGGAAATAAAAATATAAAATTTTCTCTTTCTCAATTTCAATTAATCAATATCCGAGTATTTTCATACCACTCGAATACGCAAGTCTTTTGGATAATTCTTGAACACCCGAGTGTCTGATTATTGTACAAACTAGTCGGCTACTCGAGTAATATGATTAGTATATATACTACTTAATAATAAAAGATAAAATCCCAGATATGTTTAATTAATTAGGATAGTATACAAATTTTATTAGGATAGATATACGACTAATAAAAAAACAAATTTTTCCTAATCTAATGGATCGATATGTGTTGAGAATTTTTTCGTAATATAATATTTAACTACAGCTTTTTTACAAAAAACATTAATTTTCATCACATTTCCAAACTAATTTAGTGATCCTTGATCCTCTCTACCCTTCATCTTTCCGCAGGCGTTCTCGGAATTCCGTTTTTGGACGTCGTAAGGGTGCTGGCGGCGGTACTCATCCTCGGGAACGTCGGTTTCACAGACGGCCCAGGCGTGGAAGTGGGTGTGATTGGTGAGAACGAGTTATCCTCCGTAGCTGCACTCCTGGGAGTTCCTCCGCCAGCTTTGTTACGAGGACTCACTTCGAGGACTCACAACGCACGTGGTCAACTTGTTAAATCTGTCTGCGACGCCAACATGGTATCAGACTTTACTGATGAGACGGAATAGTGATGAGCAATTTCCTATGTTATCTGAATTGAGAACTCTTTGATCTTTAAATTCTTAAAACATCATAGATATTAACTCTTGGGACATTATCCCTTGGGACTTGGATCCGTTACATTGTAAGACTTTGAACGCTCCAGATTTGTAGATAAATACTTCTTTTGTTTATATTTATTATTAATCCTACGCTGTTCATAGGATTAAATTCTCTATTCATTCAGGTATTTAAATGTTTCAATTACTATGTTTTAATTCTGAAATTTTAAGGATTGAGAAGATCATTAATTTGAGAAGAGCATTACATTTATCGAGTTTTTACTTGCTAATTTTTTCAGAGATTCTTTGCCTCTTAAGTTTTACAATAAAATGTTATAACTTCAGAATATTCCAAGTTTTATTCTAAAAATTTAACTCTTAATTTTTTTCCAAGAACTTGTTTTACAAAAGCTAAGTTATATATTTCTATCAGTTTGAATTAGACCGTGATAAAAGATTGCTCGCCACTATGTTATCGAGTTATCATATAATATTGAAAACATGTTGAAAAGTGTTTGTTTACGCAGTCTAACATGACCAGGGATTCGCTGGCAAAAGCACTCTATTGCCGTACCGTAGCCACGATAGTGAGACGAGCTAACAGCTTGAAGAGACTCGGCTCCACTCTCGGCACTCTCTCGTCGGATTCCAACGAATCTGTCCATAATCAAGCGGAAGTTACTAGCCAACACGCCTCTACCATTGGTAGTTCAGCGGGTGAGCCTTTATTACGCTGTCTCTTTACACTAAATTATTAAATAAGATCAGAACAATTATCATTACACTTCATTTAATCTAATAATTAATTCAAAGCAACTCAATTTTTCAAGAAAATCGTTTTAAGAAACTTGAATTCGTTGAATACGGTAACTTTTCTTTTTTCAAAATAATCATGCATCGCTTCGTATAAACGCAACACATACTTCTCATTCTTTAAAGTAGTGAAGGGGATAAAAGGCAAGGAATTTTCGGGAATTGTAGGAGGAACAGGATCTAGGAGTATGACCGCATTGAATAACGCCGTGCGACATGCCACGGACGGTTTCATCGGCATCCTGGACATGTTTGGATTCGAGGACCCTAAACCGAGCCAGCTGGAGCACCTCTGCATCAATCTCTGTGCGGAGACGATGCAGCACTTCTATAATACTCACATATTCAAAAGCTCCATCGAGAGTTGCCGTGACGAAGGTATCCCGTGCGACGTCGAAGTTGACTACGTCGACAACGTGCCATGCATTGATCTCATTTCTTCTTTGGTGAGTCCCTTATATCGAAGACGAAGCTATTCAAACAATAACTGCGATACAGCAAATCATGTTTGTTCTCAATTAAACATTTAAATATTTATAATGAGATATATTTTAGTACAAATTTTGTAAGTTATGTTGTTTGAAATTAAGAAATATAATTGTGGTGTGATGAATAAAAAAATTTCAAGTTTTCTCAGACTGTGAATGTAAAGAAAAAATCACCTCTTTCAGTTCGTTTATTAGGTTGTTTTATAGTTTGAAAGACGCGTTAATAGCTTTGTTGTGTGTTTCTGATTTACAGCGCACCGGGTTGTTAAGTATGTTAGATGTGGAAGGTTCTATACACGGGACCGCCGAGAGTTATGTCGCCAAAGTAAAGGTGCAGCACAAGCAGAATCCCCGGCTGTTCGAGCCAAGAACAGTCGACTGCAGATCCTTCGGCATTCAGCACTTCGCAGGAAGAGTCACTTACGACGCTTCGGACTTCCTGGGTATGTAAGACATCTTTCGTGAAGTTTCGTAATCCAAAAATATTATCAGAGTATGTGCACGAATAATTTCGTTTATTTATTGACGTAACGTATTAATATTATATAATTAACTGTAATAATTACATAATCGGATTAAATCTTTTCTGAAATTAATTAAATTAAATAATTCTTGCAGACACAAATAAGGATGTTGTCCCCGACGATTTAGTGGCGGTCTTTTACAAACACGCTTGCAGTTTCGGCTTTGCAACACATTTGTTTGGTAGTGAGCTGAAAGCGTTATATGCGAGTGACACTGTCCCGAGGGGCGTCAGTTTTCGGATATCACCAACTTCGCACACCGATCTGTAAGCGACCAACACAGTTTAATATTAATCAAAAAGAGCACTCTAATTCTAACACAATAAATCCTAATAAAAATTACTTCAACATGTTTGTTAAATTCTCTGAGGTCTTCAAATTCTGTCAGATAATAGTTGAAACAGGTTGCTTTATTACAGTTGCTTTACTGTAACGACTACTCAAATAATGCAAGCGCTTTGATTAATAATTGATTGATATTAATTCGATTATAAAATCTAAACAAAGTGCAAGGGAAGATGAAATAAAACCTGTTCTCCCTGCAGTACAAACGGGGACGTGCCGATATCGACGTTGACGCAAGATTTTCACACGAGATTAGATAATCTCCTGAGGACTTTGGTCCACGCTAGACCGCACTTTGTTCGATGTATCAGAAGCAATGGCACCGAAACACCGATGCACCTTGACAGAGGGGTTACAATGCGCCAGATACGCTCGCTGCAGGTCTTGGAGACGGTGAATCTCATGGCGGGAGGTAAAATAATTCTTTCGACACTTATTATATTATACTATTTTATTAGGCAATTTATGCAGTGATTGTGGAAAACCTTCGTATGATGAGTGAATTCTTGTTGATGGGAGAAAACACGTAGGACGATTATAAGAATGTGCATGCAACGTTTAGTTGCGATAAAATCTTGGAGGTAATATTTATGGCAACTCACGCAGGATACCCGCACAGGATGCGATTTAAAGCCTTCAACGCGAGGTATAGGCTAATCGCGCCCTTCAAGCAGCTGCGCCGCGCTGAGGAACAGGCTGTCGAGGACACGAAATTGATTTTGCAGAACGCGCAGCAGCTGAAGAGCAAATTCGGTGCCAGCACTAGCTGGGCCCTCGGTAAGCGTCACATTTTCCTCAGCGAAGGTATCAGGCAGCAGCTCGAAAATCTACGGGCGGAGACACGAAGAAAAGCCGCCATAATTATACAGGTAAGCATATCTACCTTTTTATTAATCTGCTTCTCTTTCTTATAATTTTTTTCTATGATACCATCGTAAATATAATTTGAAATTATCTTTAAATTATTTTAGTTCTCGAATACAATTAGTGTAAATCGATTATTGTAAATGACATAACTTAAAAAAATAAAAGAGAAGTAAAACCCGATTTTGAGTATCAGATAAATATCTGGTACTTTTAGGTATAAAAATACTTTTAGGTATAAAAATACACGGTATATATTGACAGCATTAGTTTTTGTATTTAGAGCGAAGTGGGGCAAACAGTTTCAAAACAAAATTTGTTTCAATGTTATTTGCAGGCTACGTGGAGAGGTTGGCGAGTGCGGAGAGGATGGCCTTTGAGAAGGACGACTCTAGGAGTGACTTCCGGCATTGGTCAAAAGAAACCTCAACAACCAACTACCGGCAACACCGGAACCGTTCAGAGAAATGTCGCTGCCGGCACGGTAACCGGAACTAGCACTCGTCCAAGACCACAGCCAATCGCTGGCACACCACCTCCCGATCCTTCGGAGAAATGCGCAGACCAAAAAATGATTCAGCAGACCTGTTCTCTTTTTGGACTCGACCTGGTTAGTACCTGAATACTATCCTCCGATCAAAAGTAAAGTTATGAAATTTGAAAAAAGTAATAGAAAATATATTGAAAAACCCTAAATTAAAATCGTTTTTATGGAGTTTGTGGTGATTGTTTAATCTCATTAGTTTAGATCTCATTAGATTCATATTTATGAATCTAAAATATGTTACAAAAGAACGAAATATTTTAAACAAGATATTTTAATAGATTAGTATTTTAAAATACTTTAGTATAATTTTAATAGAATAACTTTAATATAATTTTGATAGAATGGTAATAACGTTAATTTTGTCACAGTAATATTTAAAACAAAAATTTTGAAATTTAGACTTTAGAATTTCCAAATGTAATCCGTCTTCTATCGTGTAGGAGCGGCCGCCACCTGTTCCTCCTAGCAGATCTTATACCGTGACCGGAAACACAAAGCTTGGTTACCCACAAACCAGAATTATGAAAATGCCTTTCCCAGGTAGAAAATGTCATATAAAATAAAGTGTTTTTCCGGCATATAATAACGTTAATGAAAAAACATCATGCACACATAGAGGAAAGATTATTGAAGTTTATACATCTTCTTACTAAAAATCGATGCATTAATACGATCAAAATAAAATCTTATTATTAATATTCTCGTTTATCCAGCTTTCTTTGGATTTTTATTTTATGATATTTTGTATTGTACAATTGTTAATAATTTTCTCTTAATATGATATAATAAATATTTTTTTCAGAAGAAGGCGAAGGCGAGGTGGTCCTTTTGAAAGGAGAAACAGTTTTAGTTGTAGGCGCGTCACCTAGGCGAGGCCATCTTCTCGTAGAACACAACAACAGTACATTGCATGTGCCGTATCAATTCATGGAATTGAAACCTTGTAACATTAATGTGTAATAATACTGTAGTAATATTTATTCGGCTCCATACTTTTTTAAGAAAACAGATTGTAATATCGTTTTCTTTATTTAATTTTGAAAAATTTGGATAAAGGGATTTCGATGAAAACGTTGTACAGAAAATATTGTACGAGTAAACCAACTTTGTTGTTTCTGACATAAGAAACACAAATTTTATCGTTTCTAAAAATAGAATTTTGCTATTTCGCACTTATAAAATAAGTAAAATTCTTGTGCGATTTCTTTGCGCGATTTCAATCCTAAAATACTTAATTCTTTATGCATTAATATAAGTTTGAGACAATGTACGAAATAATTCGGATGTTTCTTCACATATAGCTGATCCATTCCGAAATAGACAAAAGTCAAGAAATCATTGGCAAATCATATCAATTCGCATTATTAGTTTATTCTGCGAGAGAGCAATTTCGAAATTTTTTCTCAGAAGAGAGATAAGTTTGCTCCGCGCGGGGAGTTGATGAAACAACAAAGTTAGGCTCTTTCTGGAGCAGTCTGTAGAACTCGGCGGCACTGTACTCTTTCCGCACGAAGTTGCTTGGTCTCGATCATCTCTGTGTCGTCTCCCGTCAGCCAATTAATTGCCATAAGACCGTCTCGGAGCACGCTGGCAAAAGTTAGGGTAGGTGATTAGTATTAAGAGAGCGCCGGCGGCATCACTCGCGGTAGAGTCAGCTCTAAAGGACAGTGAACTTCGTCCTCTAATTAATTACACCTCCCGTTAAGCGAGCTTAACGCGGAAGTCACCGCAGCCGTGCTTATCGCTCGTTTCAGACACGGCATACTGACTCACCCTAAGCTACGTTCGTCTTCCATGTAGATAAGATACCTGCAAAGAAGTGTAGGGTGCCCGATAAGAAGAATGTAAATCAAAAATTCGACAATGATAGGTTAAAGTCAAATGAAATGGTCAACGTTTTTCAGTTTGACCGCAATATGAATTATGAATAATGTATATAGGTTTCTCAGTAAATGAATTTATTTGACGATAAGTTGACGTTCCTGATCAATTGTGTTTTTACATGAATAAATAATCAATTTCTAAATTTTCTCTTGATATAGATTAATAATTTTGATATAGATTAACTGACCTTTTCAGTGACATTTATGACATGACAATGTCAAATTGTCGATTTAACACAATTATCGATAAGTCAACTCAACATCTACCCAATATTCATTTTGTTTTCATTTATTTTCATAAAATTTATTATTTTTATTTGTTTTCATTCATTTTCATAAAAGCGTATGTTAAATATGAGCTTAACTTTGACTTATATTCCTTTTATCATGCATTCGGAAGTGTTTCCGAAAATAAAGGATATCGAGATGTGTAGCAGGTTACAGGTTACATGTGTAATTTACGTTATATAGAATAGTGTGACGCACAGTATGGTAGAACACATGGTATTACTATAATACTTTTTACCAACAGTATTCGCTCGCGTTCATCTTGAATTCTTAGTGCCAATTAGAGAACGTTGCCACAATAATATATCTGTACTCTATAAGATTTATGCTAGCTCATAGATAATCATATAGTAGTGGTACTGGACGTCACTATCATCGTAGGGAAATCTGCTTTGTAGATAAACGGCACTCGTTCGCTCGTCGATTCTAAGAATCCAGGAATCCGAAAGTAAATCCAAAATTTATGTCGAATACTTTAATCTAGATCTCTCGAGAAGCGCGCGAGAGCTGTATATACGTGAAGGTCCAACCGCGTGAAGCGTGGTTCCAGATACCAGAGCAATATAATGCATATATATACATATATATGACAACTGTAAGCGTCGAAAAAATGTAAGGATCAAGTATACATACCTTTGACAAAAGGGCAATTGTCGTTAGTTATTATTGAACTTCCTTATCTCTTGACTTTCCCTCGCTATTACCCTTTAATTAAAACAAAAACGCCCCAATGTCCTGTATATTTTCACAAACTTTTCATAAAATAAAACGTTTAAAATTGGTTTAAAGTTGGGTTTAAAATAGATTGTATAAACAACCAGTTTCAACTATTAAACTTAGAAATATTTTAACTGACAAAATTAATTCTACAAAGGTAAGTCTTTTTTTGCTCACTGAAAATTTAAACTTTTAAATGACGATAAACAATTCAAGAATCTGCCAAAAAGTTCTTAGATCTGCAAGTATATAAGTATACAGTACAATTATGCACTTCATGTTATGAAAGAATTGAATGTCTTGGAAATTGTGATGCATGTCCTTGCGTGTGTTTTGAGCTCACCTGTATGCTGGAATGCACTGGCTTTGACGTGCAACGCTAAACACGTACCGCAGAATTCATCTCACCGACCGAAAGAGCTAGCTTCGCTAGCGAGGCGCGAGATAGAGAGGAAACGCTGCTTTTCTCTTCCACGAGCGCCGTTCTTACGTAAACAGACCTTTAAGCTGGCCTTGCGGCGCTGACGTTGACGTGAGCTAGGCATTTACAGAAACTGGCAAAACCTGAACTCGACGATCGCACTCGCATACCTACAGTAATAGATAGGGTCTGAAGACATACGAGAGGAACAGAAAAACTGTATAAGACACTAAACAATGTATGAAATTATTCGAGGGATATTTTTGATTATTTTCATTGCTAAGAAATTCAATTACTAAACATGTGCTGCAAGCTTTGGAACTGCATGAAAGTCACGATAATTTTAGAGGACAATTATCCACTACTATGTGAATTTTTTTCTATCTACTGTGCGAAACTTCACCCTAGCATAGTCCTTCAGTGCATTCCTTCATCAAAACGTAACGATTGAAAGTCACTTCTGAACAGTGCGGTAGATCAACGAAACGTGTCGCGTCGCCGAGCGTCCCGGGTGAGAAAAGGAAGACGGGAATCCCGCGGCAAGTGAGGGAGCAAAGCCGGGGGAACGGGGAACGAGGTCGTGTATCTCACGTCGAGAGAGCTAAGCGCGGAACACGTACGACGCAGATACGTGTTCCTCGCTCTGTGAAAGCTACGGAGATAACGATATTGAATCGCAATGCCCCGGACGTCGTCGTTCGACCGTCGCGATCCGCTCGAATGCGCCCGACTGACCCGCTTCCATCGCGCTGAGGGAATCCCCAGAAGTCCTGGCAGACGGAGGGCCGCAACGATCGACTCTAACACCTTGGGTATAGTGTAGAACGAAATCAATTGAAGACACTGATAGACTGATACGAGAACAACATTTATTATGCGTATTTTCCAATTAGTTTTCTTTTTATTAAAATCATTATTCCACGGTACGTCTCGTGAAAATAAGGAGTCTATTAAATTGTTTCATTTCTTTGTAATTTCATACCATTTTCAATGTTTAGTATATTTAATATTTGGTATTGAGTATTTAATATTTGGTATTTGGTATTTAGTATTGTAACTTTTACTATTTAGCTTATGGTATTTATGTATTTTAGAATTTTTGATATTTTAATTAGTATTTAGTATTTATAGTATTTGGTATTTTTGTAAATTTATAGCATTTTTACTAATTAATATATTCTTACACTTTTACACGCACGTATGCCTGTGACGGTAGGGAACAATTGTCTCTTATTATAATATAATTTTATCATTCCCGTGTAACTCGCATCCCAACGGTCGCGGTCTATTTCGCCCTGCGGAACTATTACGCAACTGCAACGGACAGCTTAAGTTGGGCAACGGGCGCAGCAGAGGCAGGTGCATCGTCTTTCGCCTTTAATAACCAATCCGTACAGCCGTCAGAGCTTTCGAACTTGCCACAAAAGCTCAGTTGTACCGCGGAGCGTCGAGAGACGTAAGAACGAATTCGCGGATCGATAAGCGTCCGCGATTCTCTCGCGAGACTCCGCCAATCGAAAACCGCGATGCATAATATCGCGAATATTAAATTTCTCCCCGTCTGTCCTCTTTGTCCCCCCCTCCTTCCCTTCCTCCACCACCCCCTTCAGCATCACTTCTTCTTCCTCCTCCTCTTCCTCTTCCTTCTCTCCCGCTCCCTCGTTTTCCACGCGTTCGCTGCCGCCTTTTGCCTGAAACGCTTTCTTTAATATATCCTCGGGAAATATCGGCAATAATCGTTTGAGCTTTAGCATTTCGCGAATGCTGGCTGGTTCGTGTTGATAAGTGAAACGTCACGCGAAATCTGAGGAAAGACTGCAGAGTTGTTGCGTGTTTTTTGGAAATAGTGCAAATATTTCATCCCTTCTTGCGAGAGGGGCAAAGGAAGATAGACTGCGACGAGGTGTTCTTGTTCCTTTTTAGAATCTCTACGTAAATACATGGTTTTTAGACGACCTATTTGACGACATTATGATCACATAAGGCGCAAAATAAATAAACAAGAAGTATTTCGTTGCATTTAACGAGCAAGAGGGTTGAGAAATTGTCACTTGAAGGAATATCGAACCATCTCTGAAAAAGACGATACATTATTTTATCACAACGGGTATATGCATGTATAATTTCGCCAGCGCAGACTGATGAATAAAGGGATCTCGTTGAATTTACACTCGGACCGTGAAAAGTTGATCAATGCGATATTCGTATGGGAATATAAAAAGCTGGACGTAAAAGGGTTAATTTCTTGCGCGGCAAATAGCCGGCGGGCGCAGCGAATGCGTCGGGACGCCGGCCGTGCCGCAAGGCGATTGCGTCGGGACGACGAAGGACGATAGACGGCCGATTGAAATGCAAATGGCGGCGGTCGACGTTATTTCGACGTGTACGTGCTCCGGCGAGCGGCGCGCTTGTTTCAAATTCGATCTCGCCCTTCCCCCCTGGGTGCCGAGAGACACGCGAACAAGCGGCGTCGTTACAAAAATCCCGCTATCAGGCCGCAACCAACACCGACGTCGCCGTCGGTGTCGCCGTCACGCGCGGATAAGCCGTAATTTCAATTACGTCAAAGCGTGCGCACGCGCCGCCATTTTATGCCCGCGACGGCTTGATCTGCAGGATGAGGGTTAATGATGCGAAGGATTAAAGACCCGGCCCGGCGAAGCACGCGCAAAAGAGAAAACGTTATTAGGCGAGAAAAAAAGAACAGCGCAGAGGATTAGCGCGTTGTTTGCCTTTGTTTCCTCCGGCATGTTATTCACACGAAGTGAAATCGAGGTCGCCATCCGCGGAGGATATTTCTCCGGTAATGATTAAATTTCAGAGATCTCTTATCACACTACAATATCATGCTTCGCGTATCACGTTGAACGTTGCCGAGAGGAGTGCTGTCCTCCTCGCCCAAATATGCCGTTTCCAACTTCGAATAGATTGTACGATGTGTCTTCTTGATTTGCAGAATTAAATGCGCGAAACGAAATATGTGTAAATTGCACTTGTAATTATCTCGAGCAATGTTTTATTCATTATTATCCGTTGAAGCTTGATTGATCAATTTTAACATGCTCTTCCATAATGAAGTCCGTCGGAAAATGTCCATTAAAGGGGACATCAACGTAGAAATCGGGATTTGCGCTCGTCACAGGTAAAACTGATACATGCCGATATATAAAGCATATTCGTAAATCTATTTCACAGTTTGACGGTGGGGACAATATCCGATAAACTTTTGTAGTGCAAAAAGGACGACAGCGGTATCGCGACCCTCATAACGCAGCGGCAATTGACAAAGCTATTGCTCGAACATTCGCCGCCATATTTGACGAATACGCGTCAAATCTCCGATCATTTTTATCGGCTTCGATTTTTTTTTGGACGCCGCGCACAATCGGCCGAGCACAATGATAATTCACGCTATTCGATGATGCGTGCGACAGCCGAAAGACAGACAGATAACGTGGAGCACCATTCAACAACGCCCGTTGTTGGTTAGTAATCGCAAAAAAACGGTTTTTCCAAAATCCTTTTCAAATCCGCAGCCAACATTGTTTCATATAGTTGCACTATGTGGAGAAATTCATTTCGCGCAAGTGAAAGAGAGTTTTTTATATTCCGCAACTTATGGTTTCAAAAATCAGATTCACCAGAAAATTGTCCCGTGATAAAATGCTAATGGCAAATGTGAAGTTTTTCTGATGAAGTCCCAATGGTGGAATAATACAGTCATAACAGTCGACTAAATCAATAAAAACACTTATTTCTGACACAAATGGAAGACTGTGGAAAACGAAATTTTTCTTTTAATATCTACCACAGAAATTAGATTGAACATAATCTCGAGAAGTCTGAGACGTCCCTTTATTGCCGTTTATTCTGAAGACTGGCGAGATATTTTATTAACACGCGCCACTATCCTCCGCATTCCGCTCGTATTGATCTTTAGTTCATTACTTGCTTCAAATATTTACGATGTCAATTATTGAGTTTAGTTCGCTCGTTGAAAATAATAGGAAAATTAATAAGTGAATTCCTTTACTCTCGTTTTTTTCTTTTATATTTCTCAGACAAATTAACTGGATTTTAATCTCTCGGCTTCATAATCTTTCTTACTTGTCAACTTTGTAATAATTATTGAGCGAATAAAAATGTCACTTTATTAATGATCTTATTCAATCTCGAGCTATGTTATACATAACGAGGATTTGACACAAAATAACATGCGCGACAATGCAGTTTTATGTGTTCTTACATCCAATAAATTTATGCAAAATAAAAGATAGATGGTCTACCGTCTCAGCATCGCGATATCGTACCTCCATTCTGTTCATCTTTGCGTTTCGATACATAATTTACGACAGCGCGATTGGAGTTCGAAAGAAATTCAAGAGAATCGCAGCTTCGTGACTGGAAACGACGAAAGTAGGTTTCCGCGGAGCAGAGGACGGACGGTGGAACAAAAACTTTCGAGACTTTGTCATTTTTATCGGCAGTCCCGATATCCACGTCTCGTGATTGGCTCGCGAAACTTTTCTGATCTGTCTTCCGGTCGAGAATCTCCTCGATTTCGCTCGCGGGGCTTACCGCACGTAAATCACGCGCCCCGTTCTAGATATTCGTTATACAGAATATGTATAAATTCATCATCTAAATTTCGGCTATGCTAATAGCATCCCTCAAAATAAATCAAATTAATGCTAGTTGTCGGTTGAGCTGGCGAAGAATAGTGCGAGAAAAAGATGGGACCCCGGGACCGAAGAAGAAGATTGCAACGTTGCAAATGCATTGCAAATATTTGACAAGTATTTTTTCGTTACGACAGACACCTGCGTTTGCTTAAGAAATATTACAAGCAAAGATTGAACCACTAAATATTGCACACTCTGTGTAAGCTTTCAATGTGAGTGTACCGTTCTCTTCATCCCCGATGATAACAACGGCCTTGGATTGCTCGTGTATCGTGTGTCGCATATTGATTTTTAACAACATCCATGAGAGAATCATCATTCTTATTTTCTAGAATTGAATTGATTACTTTTACGTACACTTACCTTTACATAAGCTTCCAAAATTTCCCGATTCTTCTCCGTCGTGAATATACATATACAGATGTACAAAATTCCATGTAACAATGGAAAAATATACAATTACGGGAAATATTTAAACAAAATAACTTTGAAAAAAATTAAATAACATTGAAACTATAAAATTCTTAATGTCAAACAAGATCATCTTTCTGTGATAGAAAATAAGAAGTTATTTATCTGTACACAATTTATTAGAAATAAAATATCTTACTATGAGACAAGAAAAGATAATTTATATCGTAAACCCCCTGGAGGATTTATATAACTAATAATTCGAAAACACAACGAACAAACTCCGATGTAATGGAAGAACTTGATGAAATTGGATGAAAGACAACCAACCGTTCGTTGTTCTAACCGCTCTCTTTTATTTGGTAACTCATCGATACATAAACTGACTCTAAACTTAAAGGAAGTAAAGCAAAAGTAAACTCATCACGCATCTTGGTAATGACTCGCCCTAAATCATTAGAAAAATACACATTTCACGCGCGAACGAATCCGCCAACAAAATCTTCAATGTTCAACTTAGTTTCGTTACTGATGATCGTATTAATAACTCGTTAACAGTCGCATGCTTCTGCGAATTACGCTCCACCGACCCGAAACGGACGCGAAGTCATTTTTGCCGTCATCATCATCAACACTTTCGCCGCCATTCTTCCCAATGCCAAATATTAGACTGCATCACTCTAGCGCATAACTTATACATATATGTATATATAAAATATTCATTAATATATTTACACAATTTATCTAATACTATACACAGACGAATGGAAGTTTAAGCAAACGAATCATCAAGTCCTAATCGTTTTCAACCTAACCTAACCCTCTAGCCTTAGAGAATCACGGATTAGCGTAGTGTAAAGTTGTCGAGAATCTTTGACAGACACAATAAACGAGCGATTGTCAGTAATCGTCATGGCGGCGACCGCGTTAAATAATCTATATACAGAAACGAGCCCGCGTGGGCGAATTACGAGGCGCTAAAAGACTGCGCCGTTTCAGCTCGAGAAGCGCAAGAAGCGGCCGGAAAATGACAAATGGAGACAATCAATGATACATGGCTTCGTTGATATGTCTACTTAATGTCTAAATCTTATTATTGTACGTCCACCCTAGACAACACTCAACAATCTCGATGGGAGACACTCGAATTTATACAGAGAAAGAAAATCACAGGCCTCTATAACACACACCAGACCGCCATATTAGTCGAATTTGTGATACAAGAATTTACCAGTAGTAAAAATATTATTATTGTTATCATTATTATTAATATTATCATTATTAATATTAATATTATCGTTTTATTATTATTACAGTAGTCAAAAGAAAGTGTTTATATAACAAATATTGAGAAGAAAACGAATTCAGGAATGTATGATTTCATATGATATTCCAAGATGTAGAAACGCTACGAACGAATCTCTGCGTATAGAGAAATGGCTTTTATTGTTATTTCGTCGGTGATACAAAATGGTTTGTTTTGCAACAAATTATGCAGATGAAAGCAACGGCTTAGTGATTACTTACATTGATATAGTCTGGTGAAGTATAGTATGTTAATATACTTCAATATGCTATAAAAGTCTGTGAAGAAAATCCATTCTTACATTCTTCCGTAACTTTGTGTCAAGGATAATTCCTTCAACGCCTGATTTCGTCGTTTCTGGATAATTTGGGAACTGCGACAATAGTGCTAATTGCTAGTACACATTTAATTTTCGAGTCAACGACTTTGCTGTTTAAAATTAAAGAAATTCTCAAATACGAACTCGCAAAGGTCACGAGCACGGGTCGTCAAAATCTTTTGGATTAGGTTTTAGGGATTTTTCAAATTTTATGGGACATCTTAAAACTTTGGAAAAACTAGATCTTTATATAAATCCCTGCACCCACACACATTTGTAAACTCTAGAATTTATATTTCATCTAAATACACACAAAATTGCTGAATTCCTTAATTTCTAGACACCATAATTTGTATTGAATTCTGCCTTAAAATTTATTTTCAATAAGTTAAAAATAAGTCGCAGTTAAAATTAAGCTTGCTTAAACACATAATTAAAAAATTAGAAGTGAATTTGATGATTTTGAAGTCATGGATTCTTTGATTATTACATCCTCCGACAGTCTTTATTTTATTTTTATTTTTTGAGTAGAAATCATGGTTCTCCTCGAGAACGAGAATCATGGAACTTTATCTTCTTCTTCTCCCCCTATGATCTTTTAGATCTTACATTTCTCACCTTCAACATGAAGACACGCACAATCAATTTTAACATGCAATTCTGGGAAACAAAGAAATCAGGCTGCACACATCGACGCTCCTCGCTATCTTAAGTTTAAAGGATACGAATCGTATAAAACAGCTAGAATGGCCGCCCATTGATTTATGAAGGAACCTGCTTTTACTTCACGCGTTCCGCTCCTCTGATGAAGTTTTGCCTAAAGTTATAAGCAACGCCGAACCAGTGGTTCAGAACGATATTTTTGGCGAACCGTACACCACCTAAAAGTTTGCCCGGCAACGACTGTTGTGCAAATTTATCGCGAACGTATGAATCATAGTACCATAATTCATACGGCCATAAAATCAAAATGTTTGAGGAATTTCGTGCAACAACCGTTTGGGCAATTTTTTTTTGATCGTGCAAAAATGTATCGTTTTTTCTAGGATTAACATCGACAAACACTTGGTTCCCTCGATTCTGTACAATAAACTTCACCATTTTATACTCTTGGGAGAGAGAGGAGTAAGGGAAGGGTAAACAATTACTCGCTCTTTTTTACGTAAACTAACGCAGTCATTTTTCACTTCGATTTCGCCGCGCATTGTTGTATCAATCGTCATTTTTATATATCTTCGCGTAAGCGACGTCAATAGCCGTCACTTCAGCAATAGAAGGAAAGATGAAGGCGCATTGCCAGACAGGAGTTTTACGGATCTTAACAGTGCCGAACTCAGGAATTCAAGAACGCTGGAATCCTCTTTTAACGCGAGGACATGAAGACGAAGGATCCTGAACGTAAGTCAGCCTTGCTTCTCGCACCGTCTCGCCTCGCCTCGCCTCGCCTCGCCTCTAGGAACGGTCGCAAGGAGGATATTTCCATTTTGTCTGGCTGAGATCGATGGCGATCGCCTCGCGGCTCTCGAGTACAATTCCGAGAAGGTATTTTGGCCGAGAAACGCGCAGGATATTCCAACTTCCGTATACTCACTCGAGGCGCTTTGACTGTGGATAGGAGGGGGAGTGACATAAATATCGCCTTACCGAAACGAAACACGTTATCTCGCGGAAAGTTCCCGCCAGAAGATCAAGGGAGTAAACTCCTTAAGTCCTTTCCAGGTGTTCCCAACTCCGCGGACTTTGGTGCTGTGCGACGCGCGCACGAGTTTTTCGAAAAAACAACAACGAAGGTGACCAGAAATCCCTGTGTAAAATTTAAGTACGTGACATTCTCCGCCGTATACGAAGCCAGCAGTCAATTCAGGAATCGTTTCTACGATGCTCTCGACTATTCTCTCTGCGCACAATTGCCTAAGTGTAAATTCTTATTTCTCTGAATGTACCTAAAAATGAGACAAGCTGTGGCCGCGTCGATTGCGATTCGTCAAAGCTCTGCGCGTGCCCGTTTTGATTCCCTTATTTTTCGATGTCGAGGTGCAATAACGAAAAGTTAATTTAAGTATACGCGTCGCCGAGTATACCAGCTTCTGATAGCGAAACAATCATTTGCGCGTTCGCCAATTATCAGAAGAAAATGATTGTATTCCTTCGCAGTGACATCTTTGCGTGTATCAGTCGTTTTGACGTCAATGTTACAGGAACCGTTAATATCACACATTGATTGATATTTCGTGTGCGTTTCGTGTATATGTGTTTTAAAATAAATGCCTAACAATTACGTTGTGCAACACATAATATAATGCGTTATTGCGGTATCTGTATTCTGTAATTCGCAGCGGTGAGTCACACATGACCCTTTACAAATCTATATCTCAGCAATTAATCAAGATATCGAAAACAATCTTGATGGTGACTTAATTGTACGAAGGGATCCATTGTCCGTGTGATATGATTCTCTCTCAAGGTGGAGTTACCTTAATGATATGTTTCTTCCTCTGTTTGCTCTACGGTAAATTCAATTGTAAAATCGAAAGAATGTGCGAAATAATCCGCTCTGTGTGTTTAAAAGAACGTGTGAGCTCTTCAAGTCTTCGAGGGAACTGGCAGGTCGAATGCCAACGGGCGGCTCATTGTTAGATAATAATGGCCGCGTTTTCACCGTGCAATTAACGCCGAAGTCCCGTATTACCGCATTACATCGACACAAATGTGGCATTAAATGTTGCCGCACGTTTCCTGGGATATTACTTTCAAATATTACGACATTGTGACGTTCTATAGTGGATTCTATCGTGGATATAGTCAATTTTGTCGTAATATAGTATTATATAATATTAAGTGTGATTATACGATTGGTGTCTCTAAGTTCACGTCGAATGCACACAACGTGATATCTTGACAAGAGCTAGACCTCAGGACTGGATGTCACACGTCAAACGCTAAACGCACGGTGGAAACACAGGTCTTATATCGTGATTAGCTTCTACTTTCGTAACAAGTACGCTCTTCACTTAAACGCCTCGATCATGCGCGCAGAGTTGGCGCGATGTTTAAACGACAAATACAAACTCTTGGATTTTATTGTTGCGAGGGATTTTCTAATCATTTCGTGAAATCTTCCAAAAATGCTGCGCCAAAATAAAGACTATAGAAGAGAGTTCGAAAGCGATTTGAAACGCCCCGGCCGAAATAACGGGTGATTTATATTAAAATTGACTAAGTGTCAATATTTGAAGTTCGTCAAGCTGAAAGGGATTTCATCAGTGGCCTATTTCCATTTGTTACCAAATAAAACATTAATGAAGATAGTAAAGCACAAATTGACAAAAGCGGGAATGGCATGTAAATCATCTACTAAAATATCGTAATTTAATTAAAGCTTAATTAAATCCATTAAAATAAAATTAAATCTAAATATTTGTATTCAATGAAATCGAAGCCGCTGGCTAGGTATTATTGTTTGCAATAAAATATTTGTTTCGCAAATTTTATTAAACAAATAATATCTCATGAAATCGGAGAGTGAACGTTTAATTTAATCAAATGTTTTTTTTCTCCACGATAATTGGAAACATTTTTTTTTTTTTAATTAACGATCATCAAACTCGATTGCACACTGCGTCATTATATTTCCCGAAATCCAAATTACTCAAATTACATTTGAGAGTCGACATGTCGTCGTTTAAACGATCGCTTAAACCATCATGCTCATCTGATTTACATGCTCATTACAGTAATCGCAACTCGACACACCCGACACTGTATCTGAATATTTATCGATAATCTGCCGAGTCAGTTCCTCGCAATTAGACTTAGGGTTAGGTAAGTAGTTAATTAATTAGTTACTTAGGCGCGTTGATTAGCGGCGTGGGTGTTCCTCTTCGTCTCTCCGCCTCTTTATCCTTGTCGCACGTCGTACTTTCTTCGATATATCGTCTCGTGGATGGCTTCGTATCGATTATCGTTACGGGGAAAAGCGAGAAAAGGGACTGCCACCCGATTTTTAACGACCGTCTCGGGTCGACGGACACGATTTATCGCGATCGAGCTTCACCCGAAGATCCTCACCAACATGCACCATCAAGCTCAGACTTATACAACCTTTCCTTTATCCCGCTTGTATCTCCCTGGCTGAGAGATACTGGGTTCCTTGGACCGAGTCCGAGAATTCTAGGGTATGTGCGATTTGGAACTTCGGATCCTTAGTAGGGAAAACTAGGCCGTTGAGACTTTTGAACTTCAGACACTTTTGGAGCTTTAGATACTGGATCCCGTCACTTCGGAAATTTGTCGGAATTATAAACATTTCGAGGGGGGAGAGAGGGAGGGGGGCTCTGGAGAATACCTGACACATTAAATGCTAGAGCACGCGGATCAACGGAATAACTCGTAAAGTGGGATATGATTCTTGAGGATTCTAAAACCTCCGTTTCCTAGGGGATGTTTTTCCCTTCTTTTCCTCTTTTCTTTTAACGCTGTTCTCTCTCAGCGACTCTCTGGATCTTGAGAGATCTTACACTCGCAAATACTAGGAATCTAGATCGATGGACTCTTAAACCTTAAATATTTGATACTTGGAATCTTACTTTTTCAGCCTTTGGAATATCCATGTACTTGGGAAACGCTTAGATCGGGATTTTTAGATCCATTTCTCATATCATAGAGTCTTCCAATTACGGAATCCTCGGACCGTTACCCACGGATTCTTTATCCTACCAGTCGTTTCCAAACTTATCTTACTATTTACCCTCTCTCGCTCCAAGCCTCTTCCCTCCTCGACTTCCAAAGCTCCAGAACCAGAAGAGGATGCACACGACGCGGAATATGCTTAACAAAGGTATAGTCCCTGTACCCATTACCCACCAGGACATTTCGTGTCTCATCGAGTCTCCTTACCGTCGAATCATCGAAGAGAAAAGCCCCCCTTTCTCTTTCGCGTCGCAATTCTTTCTGGTTCAGTGAAGAAAGACGCTGGTAACGGACCTGGTAGTGTGAGGAGGAAGATCGGGGGCCTCTATCAGGGCCCCCTCGTGCCCCTATGCACTCAGACCGAGCCGATGAATTTTCGCCGAGAGGAAGTTGTGCAAGACGAACACGATCGGTTTCGGACAGCTCTCTAGGTCGAGCTCCTACAACAGTATTAATCAAGCCGTCTTACTTCTCAACGGGGTAACTAACGACGCACGAGAGTTTTGAAATTTCCAAGAATTTGTGCATTTTAAGAATAAGCAAAATGTTTCGTGCCAACTACAATCAATCGTTTGCATATCCTGATGCAAAAATTAATACGAAAGAATTGAAACGATCCTATTGAATCCTGTGGGATCTCTGGTAGGAAAATTTAAGAGAAAATAATTGTTTAAACTAGTCGTGTCGATACCCGAATTTTAAGAGAAATCCGAAATTTAAGAGAAAATAATTATTTAAACTAGTCGTGTCGATATCCGAATATTTGACTATTGTGAAAATTTTCCAAGTATTCGACATCATAATTGATATATCTAATATTGTAGAAAATATAATATTGTAGAAAAACTGATTAGCTGATACAAAAATAAATAACCGATGGCTGGTTGGTATTTATCTAGTTATTACGAAGGACTTCTTATTTCGGATACTCGAATATTTGTTCACTTGAGGTATTCGAACATTCAAGTAATATTCGGAGATGAGTAGATAGCAAATAACCGAGTATAGAAGCTATTCGCTTCATATTAACAATACTAATTTAATCTAATATTTTGTCAAATATTTTATCTAATTCAAAGATAAGATAAATATAACATAACACAGACAAAATTAATTAATAAAAATAATTTTTATACTGAGAAAAAAATGTTTGATATTTGTAATTGTACACATAGAGAAATAATTATTATAAATTGTAATCAAAAACACCATTTTTTAAAGTAAATTCTACTATAATGTTAGTGCTCTAATAATCTCTTATATGTATGTTACTACTATTTTCATGTTAGAACAATAAAAAAATATGGTCGTGGAGTCAGAAATAACCATAATTTTAATCGGATCAATCTTTTTTTTCTCTCAGTGAACCAAAAATTTACGACTCCAATGTTTTATTCCCTGAGACATTACAATCGATTTGTTTGATTCCCGCGTGCTTACATCCGCATGTCTATAGTAGTAGTAAGTACTCACAATTTCGCCGTCTTCGCCTCCAAAATCGAGCCACAGAAGACGAGCGCCGTCGTCTGAGGACATTTTCAATTTGTCGAAGGATCTTCTCCAGAGTGGCGTGGGCGGCGATCCAGGACTCACGCCATTCCCAGCAGTGCCCCGCGTTCCGGCGGTGTAAAGCGCGAAGCCTTCCTCATGGTTGACAACCAGCTGACAGGACTTGCCCTGCCACGTGCAACCTGGAACACACGAGGTATCGCAAAATTAAAACAGCTATTAAAAAAGAAATAAAATGTTATTTAATCAAACCCAACAGAACTCAATCGATCTGCATATTTTTATATGCGAACATAAATTTACTTATATTTACTATTTACTTATATTTACATGTATATATGTATGTATGTATATACATTTATACACTTTATATATTTTTTGTTTTATACATTCGTTATGATGAATAAGATTAAGTGGTGAATACCACGACTATGTACGTCTCGCCGCAGTTAGGTCAGATTTGAATAAAAATTAATAAAATCTGAGTATGCATACAATTTCTCTCTTTTCAGATACCATATATAATGTATGCTTTTACTATATATTAAATATATAAAACCGTATTGCTTCAATTCAATTTCCTGCAACGACTATCTTTTTATGAGTCAGCCTGTATATGTGTTTCTTTCCTCGTCACGCGTTCCTGCCGCATCGGTATCCACGATTCTTTATCATCGATGAGTTCGATGCGAGACGCGAGCAAAAAGACGCGTATGAAACGGGCGAAGCATTCATCTCGATTTATTATTGCCGTTTGTCGTCGCTGAAAAGAAATTAAAATTCATCGAACCGAGCGGTAGAGAACGAGAACGGTGGCAGCATAGATGTCGATTATCGTCCGTCTCTCTCGATACCCCGCTATACGATGAACAGAAAGAACCTGGGCACACCATTAATTTCTGAAGTATTTCACTTTTTGTGCATTTCCCTCTAGCTTCATTAAATTATAAGGAATGTTAATTGGCAGCTTTTCTCTAATAAAATAAAAACTCCGAAATAAAATGTGATTTTATAGAAGATAATCAGTTAGAAACTTAAATCTTTAATTATTTATACCATTGACTAAGAATAGAGAGTCGAGTTTTTGGATGCATTAGCATGTATAATATTTATGTATAGTATTAGCATATATATAGTATTTCAAAAAGATAAATAGCAAAATCGGCTGATAGGAGATTAGCTGCTAAGATGAATAACATAAGATGGGAAATGGATATTATCCTGCCAGTACGAACAATACAATTTGTAATTCCAAGTATCCGTACGAAACCCGTAAATATCAGTAATGCCAGGTGAATAATCGAGTACAGAAACTACCCTGTTTATATCGACAACACTGCTACCGACCGTTGGTGTCTCAGACGACACTATTGTTTATATGAGAAGCGACATTCACATTCGGCGTGAAAACCAAGTGGCGCGATGTACTTCGGAATTTTTATCTCCCTCGAGCTGCCAGAACATTGCCCGATGCGACAAACCCGTTCTTTCACATTCTTTCTCCGTGATTCACTACCGACGCACCCCCGTGCAACTGATTTTCTCCCCTGCCATTAAATTAGGGAGAGGAATTAACGCTTGACGACCTCGCTGACCAAAGCCCGACCCTTTCCGCGCGAGGTGGCCAGCTGCAATTAGCAGCTGAGGATACTTACGGACAGTGTATTCACGCAGAGAATGAGCGGCCGCGTGACACCCCTGGACGATCGCCCGCGCCCAGGCCGCCAAATCTCTTCGTGTTTCGGCCCGCAAGTGATGCGTGATCACCCCGTCGATGGTGCCGACCCGAACCGCGAACGTCGCCCCGTGCTGAGTCGAGCCGCTACTGCTGCTCGCCGCTTCGTTCTGCCGCGTCGGGGAGGAGACCAGCCTGAAATTCGATTGAATACGTAGTCGCATGAGAGTCGTTGGATTTTCACTTGGATTGAATGCACGCGCGCGCGCGCGCGTGTGTGTATTGGATTGTCAACGTACCGCGATTCACGTTACAACATTTAAATCTGAACGTATTTATGCAGTTCTTCTCGCCGGCTGCGCTATTCACGACGCGAGCCGATCGAGATCGACGCGAGTTTCAGGAACGAAGATTGAAGATTCCGCGAAGACCGAAACGAAAAATTGCGCACAGCATCGCCGCCCAGCCGGGGTGTCGGGTAAAAAGCGGCGACCTTTATCGGGGCGATCGAAGCGCCTTGTAGCGAGTCACGGCATGGATTCATCCCCGTCGTCTCTTCATCCCTCTCCCAACGGGGAGGTAAATTACCTCGTCATCCGGCTCGCCTCGCTCGTAAAATCGTCGCGGCTTTATTGCATGTGGGACGAAGCTGCAGCGTTCACCTGACACGGGTAGGGCCGCGTATGCACCCCCCACCTCCCTCTGACCTCCTCGAATCCATCCCCCACCCACCAATCTGCCCGCTGACGAATGGTCCTGACATTCGCGAGCCCGCGCGCTAGATTTATAGATTTTTCCGAGGGACACTGGCGAGCCGAAAAAAAACAAAGAGTGATAGAAAGAACACCCTATGCAATAGAGGACAGAGCGGACGCAAAAAATGGCACACTTGGACTCGAAAAAATACCTGCTCCCGGTGTCATTCGACAGTCGCCCCGGGCCTCTTTCGCACCGGTACTAATGGCCACCCCCGCTGCGCAATTGGATGGGAAATGCAATTCGAGACGCGGCGAACAAACTGGGGGACACCTGTCTCGTCAAAGTTTTCTTGCAGCGCCCCGCTGCAAAAAAACCAGCCAATGAATCCTCGCCCGAGAGTCCGCGAATTTGCATTGCGTCTTCGCAGTAAGGGGCCCACAGAAAAACTTAAGCGGTAAGGAAATTGATCAATTATAATCAATTATTTTTGAACCATCATCGGTCAGTTTACTCGCTACCTCAATTTTACTGCTTACGTTTTCCTGTGTGTGCTCAAGGGGACATACTTGCGCCACCCCGTGCGCACGCATCGGCAAGAGTACCGGGCGAAGAACATCGAAAGGGTCGTGCACAACGTCCGCCTGCATCGCTGAATTCCGAAGTAATTCAGCGCTGCAACAGATATTCATCGGCCCTTATCGTTAGCGCCTGCGGCCAAGGTAGCGAAAGAATAAAGCAAGAGCAAAAAGCGCGACGTAGAAAATTCCGATAAGCGGGAGGAAGCCAGAGAGACAGCCGCAAACGGTAAATAAAGGCGTTAAACGAGAATGGATGTTCGTCGGCGGCCGTAATCCGGCGAAAAAGCCCGCAGGAAGGAAGGAAAGTTTCCCTCGGGGTAGCCGAATCACTTCCGGTTTGTCTCGCAGTAAAACTTCCTTAAGTCGGCCATTTCGCGCTCTCGCGTTGGGGCCCGATACGGACCCTCCCCCCTTCCCGACCGGAAATAGAGCCTCCCGACGCGTTCCGCTCTCTTCACGCGTCCCGCAGCTTCTTTTTCCTTTGGAAGGAAACTTCGGGAGAACGATGCCTGAATGTTTGACGACGGTAAAGGTAAAGGTTGATAGCGACAACGTGTAGCTTGGGAGGAATTCCTTTCCGTTTCGGCGAAACGCGCAGTCGACAGTGTTTTCCGACTCGCGCGAAAATAATTTTATATCATTGCATGTCAGATGATCCAATTAATTGAAATATATCCTTAAAGACCGTCCGTCCGTAAGATTGGCCGATTGCACTGCGCGCGCGACGCAATTCTACAGCTTCGTTGAATACACGAAGCTCCTGGAATGGAGATAAAACAAGCGGCTAGATCTGTTGAACAAGAATCAAGTTCGCCTGGCGAACGCGAATGTTGACCTAGTATTGGTTAGCATTACAAGCAAGTTTGCCTCAATTGTGAATAGCATAGTGCTGTCTATATTGCCTCGGTATTGACTAAACGTAGTATGTCCAAGTTTAGTTAGTAGTGTGAAGAGCATAGAATTACTATTGGCCAAGCAAGTATACAAGCATAACAAGCAAGTTTACCTCGAACCGAGTAAATGGGATCATGATGTGAATTTGTAATGTTGGAACTCTTCAATTTCCTCTAACGACCGATGAAATCAAGACTAATCATTTCCGGGGATTTCACTGATCATTTCCAGTTGATATTAATATCGAAGAACAGCATTGAATCTGTGTATTCTTAGTTGGCTCCGATAGCTTCGTTCATTCGTTCGTTCCTTTGAAAGAGAAAGAGAGAGAGAGAGAGAGAGAGGGAAGAAGAAGGGAAAGAAGAATGAGAGAAAGACGGAAAGAAAAAGAGAGAGAAATGATGCCCGGGACGTTGTATGTATATCCGACACGATAAAAACAGAGGCGCGGGCTCGTAAGCTGCCACGAACGATCGATGCCCGTCCCGCCTGGTCTTTTTCACTTAAAATTTAAACGAGGCTTAGTTGGATCACCGATCATTCAAACAGCGTGATTGCCTGACACCATATTTAAGCCGCTCAAAAACGCCGCGCTCGTCGTTAAAAATATAGCCGACGTTAATTCGCAACACAACGGCGCGCGAGGAGTGTTTAACACGATATAAAGTAATGCAACGAGACACTTCCGGCATGTACGCAACGCGCAACATCCGCTCTGTGCGTTTTATTTCCCTGTGTATTTACAAAGGACATTCTTGTCGCACATATATAAAACAGTAATTGTTTCTGCGTACACGGTCTGCAACAAATTTTATAGCATTTTAAATATATAATCAAAGGTGAAAACACACACGACATTTTCGCGTACGGCTCGATAAATTTAGACGTAGATATTCTTCAGCGACTTTCTCCGCTACTTTCGCAATTTCGATGTTAATGCATAAGACGTATAAAATATATTAATGGGTAAATTTGGATTTCACATGATTTAAGCTTTACTAAAAATTAAGCGAACACACACACACACATACATACTAAAATTTTCTTATTTATTTGAATTTTAGACGCTTAATTTTCTGAAGTTCTTCATTCTTTAATATAAAATAAATTTAATGTGAAATAAGTTTAATACGCGTTTTCACGCGCGCATCCTCTTAAAGATTTTCCAATCTTCATTTCTTAAACTGTAGTTTTATTTACATCTCGCTAATTTTTTTGAGTTTAGTAAATAATCTGCATTACATCTACAAAATCATACTGAACCCGTTTATTTCAATTTGAATTTATTGTAACTAAATAAATGAATCTTTTAAAGTGGATAAAAAATTACAGCTAAGTCTGATTATTCTCTGGCGCGATTACTTCAATTAAATTAAATTTAAATGATCTATATTAATATTAAAATTAATATATTATAAACCACTGTCACATTTTTGCAGACTGTGAAAATTAATTATTATAATATTTACTGCTTAAACTAAAAAAAATCTCCACTTGCTTTCGCAGCATCGAACAATCTATGACTGTGTCATATATATGACCAGTCGTTCACCTTGAAAAAAAAAAAATAAACGATGGTTTGCGACAGAAATAGCGCGGAATATTCGCGTTAAATCGCGGGAAAGCTGCGATAAAATCCGATTAAGACGCGAGATCTCGTCACGATGATGAGTATCGACTTTCGGCGCGATCCCATTAGGTTTCATTCAGGTTCAGTCACAGCAGCTATATTTGCCGATCACCGACATCGAGAGATTCACTGCACGAATTATCAATAATTCAATATGCGCCATCGACGTTCGCGCAACATCCTCGATATTTACCGCCATCGCGGATTATATTCGCAATTTCTTCGCGCGATTGCGCGGATCAAGATCGTAAGAGGACGCGAACGCCAACAGCTGAAAATGCGCAACAGCAAGACGCCAAGTTGCGTCGCGCAAAATTGAGTCACATTACAATCGACTATTCGATTCGTCGCAGAGAGTTTCGGCTTATATATTTTGCCCAATTATCAATACACCTAATATACGCTTGGAGCAGCATTTCAACAACCTGGAATTAATTGAGTTATAGTCATTGACATTCGATCGATGAACAAACTGACGTTAATGTCGCTCCATCTCCCATTACTGAGATCACTACGGCCGGTATTCGGATCTTATAATTAAGATCGTCTTCAGATACTCCGTAGCAATGAAATGATCTGTACAACATCTGAAGATGACGATCTTAAACATAAAATCTGATTATGAGTATCGGCCTACGAATATTCGATCAGAAGCGTCGCGTTTGGTTATTATTGCAATTTATTCGCGATGCAAGCTGAAATCGATATAAGTAAGCGTTCTAGATAACCTGGACGAGGTCGAAAGAGCAACTGGGAAACTTGGGGTTGAGTAGAGTAAAGAGACGAGCAAGGGTTGGGGGTGGCGGGACGATGCGCCGCGAGCAAAATCCTGAACTCGTTCCGAATATCGTACTTCGATTGCACGCGCGATCGGAAACTGTCGACGACACCTCCGATAATTAATGTCTGTCCCGTAGGATTTAATTGATCCGGTTCACCGTCCGATTATCGGGACCCCATCTTTCATATCCCGTTGTACCCTCTCCCTCTTCCCCTCCCCGGTTCCTCTGGCAGCTGCCCTTATCTAGCCCTTATTCACCTGATCAACCCTATCTCTTTATGGCCCTTAATTTTACCAATACAGATAATTATGAATCCTAGAAATGCAAAAAGCACGGCGAAGTGTTCAGAAACGGCCGGAGATCCTGAGAAAAATGCACGATTTAAAGTCTCGAGATTTATGATTTTTGACAAACGCTAGGAAAATAATGAACTGATTTGTCACTCACACACTGCCTGAGTCGAAATTTTGGCCCTATATTAAACCTTGAATTCTACAACGCAATAGGAACTAAGTTAGCAAGGTAGATTTAGTTCTAATATAAATTCTAATACAATTTTTACTGTTACTTTGACTCTGATGATGTAAAAAATTTCCCTTTTCACTTTCTTTA